AGAGCCCAGCAGAAAGCAACAATCAAGGTGAACTTTGTGAGGACTCCATGAAGGGAGAGTGGACTTCCAGTACTAAGATCTATGTGTTAACTCTTTTGCCACACATAATTCTCTATATATCTACCTCACTACCAGCATATTTTAAATTTAGTGCCACTTTTCCCATGAGTAATATATATATATATATAGATAGATAGATAGATATAGATATAGATATATAGATATATATATAGATATAGATATATAGATATATATATAGATATGTGTGTGTGTTGGTACTGGGAGAGTACACTACAGAATTTGGGGAGAAATGTTTTATACCAATTATTCTCTCTATATCATCTTAGTAAATGCTTTTGCTAAAAATGAATTGAGTATACTGGATGATTGTTAACAGGGAGCACATTTGTGGGGTCTCAGGAACTCCAGCAATAGAAGTATACTCCCTCAGATTTATCTCTAGAACCCTGAAGGTAATAGTTAACCTCTCTCTGGGGACCCCAAAATGGAAGCGAGTGTAGGCAGAGTGGCCCTATTGGTGGTGTTATGTTAGGTTTCTAGAATTATAGCAAAAGGATAATTGAATGCAGGCAACTGCTGAACTTTGACTCAGCTAGTCATATCTATTAGAAGTCAAGCTATTTTTGTGGGGTTCTTGTGAGGATAAATGAGGTATTTGTAAAACACCTGGCACTTAGGCATTATATAAAATTCTTCTCTCTATAGCTTAGGAGTAATTTTCTAGCTTGTAGTAGCTTACCCAATTGGCAAGGAATACCTAAGTAGAAATGTATTACCACGTAGAGGCATAGAAATAGACATAATGGCCTGTCCAGGGTTCTGTTGCTAACACAGGATCCAAGAGGCATGTTTGTTATGAGAGAATAAGGTTTTTCTCCCTGATATTAACTTCAAACTTAAAGAGGTAGTGTAGTGGGAAGAGCTTAAGACTTGAAAGTTAGGAGACTCAGGTTAAAATCCTAGCTTAAACATTTACCAGTTCTATGGCTTTGTTCTCCCTTCTCTATAAAATGGGGAAAATAATATATTCATTCCCTAATTCACAGGATTTTTTAAAAAAGAAATCTCTTAGTGAAAAGGTAAACTGTTATTATCCCAGCTTCTTGTGGCATGTCCTCATTTTCTTTAACTATAATGGGAATATTCCTACTATCTATGGCCTAGGGTTGTTACAAGGATGAAATGGGATAATGTATCTGAAAGTGCTTTGTGACTGTAAAACTTTCTCTGTGTGTGTGTGTGTGTATATACATGTGTGTATATATATATGTATAATATGTATATGTATATATGTGTATATATATACATATATATATATATAAACCATCATTATTATATAGTGTCTAAATTATTTTTTAATCCTTTTTTTTTTTTTTGCCAGTACCACAGCTTGGTGGTTGGGGAAGGTAAAGGTGGTGGTAAGTAGCTTGATAAATTTAGTCATCACTTTGGAAAGCAGTGCTTCCTTTCATTTGTCTTAAATTTGCCTTGCTGATGTTTCAATAAATGTTCCTTCATCTATCATTTTGGGATTTGGTAATTAAGTTCCTACTCACCTTTTTCACATTACTAAATGATTTTCTTAGATTTTTATCACATCACTTCCAAACTTTCATCTTTCAAACCAGAGAGTCCTAATCTTTTTCGGTTGTTCTCATATGATAAATCCTCTTTACCTCCACTCTCTCTGATGATTTTAGTTACCTTTCTGTGGACCTTATTTAGTTTTAGTATATCTTTCTTGAGATATGGTAACCTGAATAAATGAATTATCAAAAAGCATTTATTAAGTATCTACAATGCTCGAGGTATAGGGGATATGCTAGGGGATATGAAGACAAAAAAAATCAAACAGCCCATATTCAACTGGGGAAAACAACACACACAGAGCAACACACAATATTACATATGTGTTGCCCCATTACATATTCACATCAGCACTTTAAATGTTTTCTATGTTGTGTTTAAGATACAATGCCTAGAATCTGGTTGGACTTTTAGATCACAGTAATACATTAGCAATAACCTACATTGTCTCTTTCCTGGATGGTGGTAAATAGCACATAGAACTTCTTTTTATATGTAAAAGACACTTTTCTGTTGAGAGATAGATTCCTTCCTTTAGTTCCTCTTCACTCACTTGGTTTTTTGTCATCCAGTACAGTTTCATATCACCTCAAAACTTGTATTCTCCTCCCTCCAGACCACCTATAAAAATGTCAAATGATATTAGTTTTAGCACTGTACCTGTAGAAGTGCCATTCAGAAGAATTGTTTCTGTCAATGATAAAATAGCCATTCCCAATATCATGGTGACACTTAAAAAAAGAATCCAAATGGAATTGGCTACCAAATGATCCAGGGATAAATGACATCCTGTTAATTATTTATATAATGCCTAAGTGCCAGGTGTTTTACAAAATTATTATTTTTTTTTCTAATTTGGCTTATAAAGGAGGTCTCTAGCATTTTTATGAGGAGCTACATTTTTTCATTTCTGTAAAGACTCAAGATCATCAAACAGGTGGGTGACAATGAAGCTTCTGAGTGGAGAAAATGGGAATTGTGGGGGCCAGGATAGGTGCCAACAGTAAATTTCCTGAATGGAGTAGAGGAGAGAAAACCACTGATAACAAACCTTAGAAAGGGAACCATACAGAAATCTAAGTAGTCAATAAGGATATAATATTAGGCTTTGGTATTTAGTGTTAGATTTTTACCACCACTTTAGAACATCCTGAATATCAATGACTATTTCATCTAATGTCTCTAACATGACCCATTAAGGAAGTAATTTGGCCATGGGAATCTCACAACAGCAAAACATTCATTCATCAAACTTATACATGTTAGTGTATTGTCAGGTGTGGAAGAAGGGAAGGGGTAGGATAGGTCAGTCTTTACAGGGTAAGCAAGTTCGACCTTCCTGGGGCATTTTGCTAAACACATAAAATATTCTATATCTACTTCCAATCCAAAGAGTAGAACTTTGAGGAACCAGGCTTTAGCCATGAATGACTGAAGAGCTAATGTTATCTGATGATGAAAAAGCTGGTTGGCTAAGGACCTAGAAGGACTGATGACTCAAGAGAGGCTGAGCCACAATGGAGTGTGCATGTAAAAGTCTCGAATATCAATATCTTTCCTCTCCTTGGTAAAGTGGAAGAGAGTGTCCCAACTATGATCTGGCCTCTACATGTCCATGAATGCATGATAGCTCAGTTTCTTTTGTCACTTTTATGTTTATTCTTTACTGTTCATAGGTGGATGGGTATGCAAATCTAGGGAAGGAATTGACCACATTATGATCTTATGAGCTTCAAAAGGTCAGAAGAGCCATTAGAAGTCCCTTAAGTATCCAGGATCAGTAGCAGAAATCAACAAAGCCGGCAGCAACTAGCTCATATTTCAGTTAAATCACTGAGTCCTATAAGGAATGAGCCTAGCTGAGCAAGGGAGCATTTCATCCATTGGTGATGCCATTCCCTGAAGCCAACCTGGTGGGGACTCCTCTCAAGAGGAGAGGACTCTTAGTACTAGGAGTTGTGAGGTAAGAACACACGCGAGCCCCACATGTTCTCTACAGGTATGCCTCACTCTATATGTATGTCTTTCTTTGTTTGATACTATTTTCCCCAGGGCCTGTGTGTGATGCAGAGAAGAAAGTATTGCCCCCCCCCCCCAGTTTGGGATGTCCTTGCTATAACTTCTCAGTTAATATTCCCTCTGCAAAAGCTAATTGATGTCAACTAGTAGATCAATATTAGGGGAGCACATTGAGTAGGGGCTTTCGAATAATTGTATTAAAAACCTAGCATCTTAGGTTATCCTAACCAGGGCACTCAAGGGGATTATAGACAACTGCCTTCAGGGGACCTGGCCTATCAATGTGAATAGGAGTTGGGGAAACAATGATGCTATGCTGGTCTTGAAAATCCAGATCTATGATAAATATCCCAGATCTCAAAGTAGGAAGAGCCATAGATGGTTAGAGTTGAAATGGGCTTGACAGATCATCTGGTCCAAGACTGTCATCTTGTAGATTAGGGAACTGATGCCTAGCCTAGAATGGCTTAGTAACTTGGCAAAAGTCATACATCTAGCAATTGACAGAAATGGGACCTGAACATAAGTGTTCTGACCACAATCCAATCTTTCTGAGGCAGCCCCACGCACGTTCACACTTACTTGATCATTGTAGTGATCATTTAATGTGACAAATAGTGACTGTACAACTCAGCAAAGCCGTAACTCAAAGGAACTCAAAGGAACTCTTTTCCCATGTCACACTTTGAGAGTATTAATAGAACATGAATTTATTTAAAATACATTTATTTATTTAATTTATTTAAAATTTATGAATTTTATTTATTTAATTTCTTTGATGTATTTAAATAATGTATTTAATTTAAATAATGTATTTAATTTAATTTAATTTAAATAATGTATTTAAAATACATCTTTATAGGATCATCAAAGCATTTACAAAACATTTAAATGTATTTTCCCAATTAGTTGTAAAGACAATTTTAGATTCATTCTTACAAAATTTTGAGTTCCAAATTTTTCTCCCTCCCTCACCTTCCCTCTTCCTAAAATGGTAAGCAATATGATATAGGTTATATATGTACAATCATAATAAACATATCTCCATATTAGTCACAGTTGTAAAAGAAGAAACAAGCCAAAAGGAAAAAAAAACATGAAAAAAATAAAGTGAAAAAAGTATGCTTTGTTCTGCATTCAGAGTTTATCAGTTCTTTGTCTGGAGTCCAACACAATTACAAAATTGTGTTGGATAATTGTGTTGCTGAGAAGAGCTAAGTCATTCATAGTTGATCATCACACAATGTTGCTATTACTGTGCACAATGTTTCCCTGGTTCTGCTCATTTCACTTTGTATCAGTTCATACAAATCTTTCCAGGTTTTTCTGAAATAAACCTGCTCATCATTTCTTTTTTTTTTCTTTTTTTTTTTAAAGGCAATTGGGGTTAAGTGACTTGCCCAGGTTATCATTTCTTATAGAAGCATTTTTTTAAAATGCAAAGACAAGTGAAGGATGTTAGGAAGGAAACAGATAAGCAGAACATCTGGGAAAGTAACATGTCAAATTTATTATATTCTTTAAAAAAAAACTATATACTAGAGATCCATGGTTTCACACGTAATTCTATTTTTGGTCTCACTTTGTATATGGAATTTTTTTGGTGTTTTATAAGTTCAGAATTTTTATGAAGTTAATTTTAAAATATACACCTCTAATAGGTTCCTCAGAAGAATCTACTGGGAGGCTGGGTAAGGGGAAATGAGAAAAACCAAAATGGGGGCATGAGCAAGAATGATTCATCATTCCTCTTGTGATCCAATCGCAGAGGCTGAAGGGAAGTGGGCCCTTCAGATTACTCTGTTCCCTGCACAGACACTAGACTTTGAATTCATAGTTTTTTCCAAATGAACAGCTTGATCTTCCCTATTGCAACCAAGTACCACATATGCTTTCTTTTTAAGAACGTCATATTTACATGATGCCTTTGACTTAGTTTTCTTACATTCAGTCAAATTAAATTTAACACTACTTCTAAAACAACATTTATAATTAAATTTTTCTGTGCAATTAAAAAAAGTTCCTTTCTTACACACTTTATTGACTTTACTTTTATCACTATGAATAAAAGTATTGACTGGTTTGCAAGAGTTATTCTTATTAACCTTAACCATCTCCTCAGTACAGTCTATAATTCTTTTACCAGTGATGTGATTTCTTTCAAATTGTTCTGATTTTTGATCCCAAGAAAGTTCCAGACCCACATGTTGCTCTTCAGTAGCTTCTGCATATACAATTGTTCCAGTTACAAGTTGTACCATCAGAAGATGCATCAGAGGAAAAGCTGTTATAAGAGCCATATGTGCCATCTCTCCTCAGGGTCCTGAGAAAGGGAAATGAATCAGCAAAAAAGCAGGAGGCAGACAGTGGAGGTTTGATCTTTTCCCTGAGAAACCAGGGTTCCATTAACCACTACCCGCATTTACTCTAGAAGTAACTATAGAAAGCCAATCAATGAAATCCTCTTATGATCACTCACAAAAAAAAATCAGAGATGGAGAATACTTTGACAGTTAGACCATTTTATATTAAACAATCAACCAACATTAAGTTACTATTTAAGTTACTATATTAAGTACTTATATGATCCAGAAACTGTTCTAAGTGTTGATAATACAAATAAAAAGTAGAATCATTTTAATAGGTGAGATGATAGACAGATAGCAGACACATTTATATGTATATATATTTATACATTGCATATTATATATATCTATACATTGAGAGTCCCCAGATCTTTAATAAGTAAAATAAATATTTAAAAAAAGTATTTCACACTAAAATTTACATTCAGTAAGGAGGGAGAAGGCTAGGGAAAGACAGACAGAAGAAACAAAGGGAAAGAGAGAAATGAGAGAATGAGAGAGCCTGACATAGAGGACAGAGATGGAGGGAAAGAATGAGAGAGGAGAAAGGGAGTAAGAGACAGAAGAAAGACAAAGACCTGGAGAAAGAGATACATATAAGGGGAGAAAGAGAAGCAGGAAATCAAGAGAAAAAGACAGGCTGATGGAGAAGTAGAGAGATGGAAGACATAAAGAGACTCAACTTTTTAAGCAAATGTTAGTTAAGGTAGACCATTCTTGTAATAGGGATAAAAGCATGAAAAGCTTACTTTTCACTTGTTTTGAGGGCATCATAATAGATTATTTTGTTGTGTTTAGTCATGTCCAACTCTTCATGACCCCATTTGGAGTTTTCTTGGCCAAGATATGAGAGCGGTTTGCCATTTCCTTCTTCAGTTCATTTTACAGGTGAGGAAACTGAGGCAAACAGGGTTAAGTGACTTGCCCAGAGTCACACAGTTACTAAGTGTCTAAGGTCAGATTTAAATTTAGGAAGATGAGTCTTCCTGACTCCAGGCCTGGTACTCTATCCATTGTGCCACTACCTGTCAGTTATTATTGCCTTTCAGAATATTGATCAGCTGATTAATTTCTGATGCTTTTTTTTTTTTTTGCTACTTGAATGCTTATACCTTGAGAGACTTTGCTTTAGCTGGAGAAGCACTGCAGTCTCTGTGAACAAAGTTGTTCTCTGCTATGTAGCTGCAGTGACTAGAATGGTATCTTTGCATGGGGTGGACTAAGAAAAGAGGCAAGTCAGGAGTTCTACATGCTCACCTGGGTCTGCTTTTCTTGGTCTGATGCCTTCCCAATACTCTCCTTCTGTCACTGTTGCCAGGGTCTCGCTGCCCTATCTAGCATAGTCTTTGCCAACTTGAATCCTTAATTGCCTTTCAACCATACCAAGGCTTTTTGGTTTTTCTCCTATTTCCCCCAAAATTTCTTCCCTCTCTCACACATGTGCACTTGTACACAAATACTGAATAGCTCATGGACACTTACTAGTCCTAAAGAGGAAACATGTTACCCATCTACTGCCAGAGAGGTGATGGACTTGAGACATAGAAAGAGATATATATTTTGGACATGGCCAATGTGGTCATTTTTTTTTTTTTTAGATTATACATGTTTGTCATGAGGGTCTTATTTTTCTTTAAAAAAAATAATTCAACAGAGGCAAATGGGGAGGGAGGGATAATCAATGCTTATAAAAAGATTCTTTTTTTTTGTTTTTGGAGGGAGGCAGCTAGGTGGTGCAATGGATAGAGCACTGGCCCTGAAGTCAGGAGGACCTGAGTTCAAATCTGGCCTCAGACCAAACATTTGACACTTACTAGCTGCGTGACCCTGGGCAAGTCCCAATTGCCTAAAAAAAAAGAAAGTTTTTTTTTGTAGTTTTTTTAAAGAAAAGAAACTTACCACTACTGGATCTCTGTTTGTTTCCTCAGAGCCAGATACCCTGTAATTTCCAAGGTGACAATTAGCTTACCTGGTAACCAATTTCTACTCACGGGAGAGGGCTCAATGAGTTATCTAAGGGTTCTTGATATCCTTACAGGGAACAAAGAATTTAGTGGTGGTCTTTTAGAAACAATGTTATTTAATTTGTTGTTGAAACCAAAAAATTATCTGTAATGGTAGGAATTTCAAGTCAGGTAGGAGAGCATAGGAACCTCAGGGAAAGGGAAAGATAATCATATGCTAGGTGATTTGGATTGTCCATGAGGGAGATTAAGTGTAAGTATATAGTATAAAAGTATAAGTATATAGCTTGGTATTAGAATGTAAACAGAAATCTAGTGTGTCCCAATAATAATTGCTCATACTTTTATAGTGCAGTGGGGGGGGTGGGGGTTGATTGGACTAGATGTTTTCTAACATTTCTTCCAGCTTTAAAGCTAGGATCTTAGGATTCTCTAGTCCTGTTTCCTTATCTATAAAACAAGGTGGTTGGACTAGATACAAGATGTTTAAGGTCCCTTCTAATTCTAGCCATTTAATGATTCTCTACTTACCTTGAGAATGAGTCCTGTAGAGAGCAGATATAGCTTGTCTTGTGTCTGTGATATTCTCTGAGGTTTTGAGGGGCTTTTTTTGCTAACAGGATATTTATAGGTTTTGGCTGAACAGAAGTTAGATGTGTTCTAGTCTAGTTGAAAGAGGTTAGTTAGAGGGACCGCACCCAAACCACAAGTCTTAAACTTCTAGGAATGGAAATACTGACTTATTTCCAACTGCCCAGTTTATTCTCATAATATCAGGTCTTCTCTCAGGCTCTAATGTGTTTGGGATAAGCTTGAGGACTTAAGTGAGAAATGAGCAAAAGAGAAGAGATGAAACTTGATCCAGGGAAGAATAAATTTAAGGGTGAAATAAATGAAGGCAGAGGATTGGTGTCCTTAACTGTGACTTCCTCCCAGATGGTTTCCCAAGAACAAGTATTAATTCTACTCCAGGATAGACAAAAACCAAAGTATTGACAATAACCTCCCAAACTGACATGATTTGAAAATATTCTGTCCAAATCAATCTTTCCATCAAAGGAAGAGACAAGAATAATTAACCTGATAAATTATCTTTAGAGGTAGAACTGAGTGAAAGGAGTAGAAAGCAGTAACCACAGGATTTTTAAAGGGGAGAACTAATTCCATTTGAGATTGAGAATCACACACTGCCAAAGGTATCATTGTGAAACACATGGCCCTAAAATGAAGCTCTGGGCTTACATGAATTAGCTTCATTTTTGGGATAGGGGGCTTCCCCATAAGCATACATTTTGTTCTTATTCCCCTACTGAGGTATTCTCCCTACTGAGGAATTTGGCTTATAACTTAGTCTCTATAGCAAAAAAGAAAAAAAATGTCATATATGCTGGGCAAGTATTCATGCTAACATAACACTGAATAAAGGACAGGCTGTAGTTAATCGATTAGAAAATACAAAAGACTCACATCTGAGTCCATAAATGGTTCCTTCTCATTCCCTCTGTGGTTGTCTTTCAGCTTCCCCAGGGACAGTCCTCTAGGCTTGTAGAACTACCCTAGAGTTGGGGCCTCACTATGCAATTGAGGAAAAAATTGAGTTTGTTAGAGAGTTGAGTAAGTCTGGTAAACTCCACCACCCCAGTAACCCATGCAGTCTTTGCTATTTATAATACTATCTTGGGTGGGGAACCATTAAACATGGGAGGATTACTTGACTCCCTGGTAACCCTGTGTTCTCTTCCCTCTTGGGTTGCCTCAACCCCAGGGTGGCACTGGAACATCTTAATAGGTCTTTTGAAGAGATGGAACTCATTGGAGGAGGTGAGTTGTTTGATTCATTAGCAACTCCACATTCTTTATCCATAGCCATACCAGGGAAGTTGCAATATCAAGTTAATATCATAGCTCTGGAGGAGTGGGAGAGGTACAGATCCTCCAGAAAGAGAAATAGAGTTCCTTCAAATATTTATTGTCTGTCATATGAGCCATTTGTACTTTCTTTGGTTAAATAAAACTTGTAATGTTATATGTCACATTATGTAATGCTATGCTATGATGTGTGACAAGGGATGTCATATATGTGGCATGTCATATATGTGGCTCACAAGGAGGAAAGAGTAGACATCCTTAGCATCTTCTCTCCCCCCCCTTCTCCAAGAGAGATGTAGGTTCTTGCCAGAAGGGAAAGCAGGGAGATTGTACTCAGAGGCTAGTTACTATACTCTCCTCAGAGACCCAGAGGGTTCTAGGCTTGAATCTTATCTATCTTTTCCCTTAAACATAGTTAATCTTGAGGATATAATTACAGCATTCAAGTTAAACTCCTGATGACTCTTTATTAGCATAGAATAGGGGGCCCCAAACTATGTATCTAAGGCTTGTCTCTTTTCCCATCAAATACTAGTTCCACAATTAGCACACAAAAATAAATAGCACATAAATTAACACACATAAGTAAATGGCAAATAAATTCATTTATCCATTTCACTAGCAAAACAGAAACTAGAGAAAGTGTATGTATGAAAATATATGTCAGATAATACAGATTGAAGGCGTTCTTCCATTGGGAGCAAGATGTCTCAGGTCAAGCAAAAGAGAGTCCTAGATCTCACCCAAAGAGGAACTTCCTTTAATTCTCTAGTGTAACAAGATGGGGATAGGGATATGATGGAGACTGCCAGCTCCTCTAAGGTTGTCTTCCTCCCAGAGTCATTCCTTCCCTTCAGCCACCTGAAAAGAGATTGGCATTGTGGATCTTCTGTCTCCAAATTAGAAGCCAGAAGAAATCTGGAGACTGAAGAGACCATAACTCTCTTCTCTTACATTCTCACCACCTCTGCCTCACCCTTGATGCAGGCATCTCCACCAATGAGGAAAGAATCTCATATCAATGGGTTTGGAGGCTTGGGTTACATTTGTTATACTAGCCTGAATGCTTATTTTTTCCTGTCTCTTATATACTTTCCTGCTTCCTGAGTGCTTATTTTTTGTCTTGGTTGGGAGACCTACCCATTAGTTTCTGATGTCCCAAGGGGAAACCCTTGGTGTAGACATGACCCAAAGAAAGAGTAAATTATAAAATTCCCCAAGATTGTTAACCCAGAGCTATAGTCCTGAGCTGTGGGTTATGATTAAATGGCGGAGGAGGTGGGGGCAGGGAGAGCCAGTCCAGTAAATGATAGCACAGCCTGAATTGTAGGTAGTTAAAATGATTTTGAATGCGATTCTCCATTCTAGCTTTTGTCTTCTGTCTTCAGAAATAGCTAGGCTCCATAGATCCACTGTAGCCTTCCTGCTCCGTTTATTGGCAACAGCTACAGCCTGTCTAAATAACAAACTTGCACAATGGCCATAGTTCTTGTCTGCATGCATGAATTCAAGGTTACAGTTACAAAGCTCCAAATAATGAGATGAGATACTATTCACAGGTAGCATTTGAAAGCTTCCCTTTTTAGGTGATCATAGGATTTTACAGTTGAAGGACCTCAGAGATCAGATGTATGATTCTACCATTTTTCAGAGGGGATGGATGAGTCTCAGAGTCATTAAGTGACTTGTCCAAGGTTACAAAGAAGGTGAGTGATGTGAGTCAAACTCAAGTATTTTTATTTAAACCCAGTGCTTTCTCTAACTATGTCACAAAGTTCTAGCACCTCAAAATTTACTCCCATGTATTGGCTAGTTGAGGACTTTTGAGAAACACTTAATTGACAAGGTAAACTAGGCAAAGGATTTTAGAGAAGTATATGTAAGCTTTGGTGGAAAGAAGTGGAGAAGGCATTCCACATGTAAAGAATGAAACTTGAGGGGCAGCTAGGTGGAACAGTGGATAGAGTACCAGCCCTGGAGTCAGGTGAACCTGAGTTCTAATCTGGCCTCAGACACATAACACTCACTAGCTCTGTGACTCTGGGCATGTCACTTAACCCCAACTGCCTCACCAAAAAAAAAAAAAAAAAAAAAAAAGAATGAAACTTAAAATCCTGGGCAATGGAGTCAAGCTGTCAATATAAGGAGGGTAGGCAGGCTTATTTAGACAGAGGGGACATTTGAAACTTGTGTGAAAGAAGGTCAAAGTTCCAATTAGGGAACAATGAGATAAGGGGAAATTCAATAAGTGATGGATGATCAAAGAGTACAGATTTTAAAAGAGAAACAAGACTTACTGCAGGTACATATAGGGGAGCAACATCATCAAAAATGCCTTCTAGGGGGAAAATACCTCTGTGTAGAGGCTAGATTAGCTGGAAATGAGGCTGAAGGGTTGGAATGTAGGGGATTATAGCAGCAGCTCCAGTATGAAATGATTACGGAGGACATTCTGGACCATTAGTGTTGTTAACTCCCTCTGGCTTCTATATACTTTCCTGCTTTCCCTTTTCCCAACACCAGTATTTCCCATCAAGCCCTAGTTCTTTCCATCTTTCCTAGTCTTGCCACTTTTTGGCTGGGTGACTCTGGGAAAGTCATTTAACCTCTCTGATCTTCAGCATCCTCATCTATAAAATGAAAATAATGCTACTTCACTGGATTGTTGTAAGGAGCAAACCGGGAACCTTTATGTAAAGTGCTTTGCCACCTATAAAGCATTATACCCTTGTAAGCTGCTGTTAATCCCAGAACTGTCCTTTCTATTTGTTCCTAGATGTGTTCTCTCTACCTGATCCAATGACTGCTATACCAGAGATTGCTATTCTCCTCACCTTCTCTTCTTTCATCCTATAAAACAAACTAATTATATCTGAAGCTGGTTAAAGAGAAATACAATGCCATGAAGGTATAATTGACTTTTCTATACTTCTTAGGATCTTCCACTTATCCTTTACTCTCCTTTCAGCTTACACATTCCAAGTTTATAATTCAAAGGCAGTGCCAGAAATATCTTTTTTATTCTCTCCTCCAGGTGGGAGAAATAAATAATAATAACAACAATAACAATACAAAGCACTTTTCAGATATTATCTTAGATTATCCTCATAACCACCCTTGAGGTAGGTACTATTATTACCCCTATTTTATGGATGAGGAAACTGAGGCGTACAGTGTTTAAGAGATTTGCCCAGGGTCACTCATCTAGTAAGTGTCTGAGGACAGATTTCAATTCAAGTCTTCTTTATTCCAGATCTACCACTCCACCCACTGTACTACCTAGAAGGAAAACATGAAGCCAATTTCAATCAATCAGTCAATTTATTTATTTAGCATGGCTGGCACTTTGCTAAGTGCTGTGGGAATTATAGAAGAAACATAGGATAAGGTTCTTGTCCTGAAATACCACTCAATGTAAGAGGGGACTTGCCAATGGGGGCCCAGCCCTGCAAACAAACTCAGTGGATCCACGTGGATGCTTGGTGCATCTAGGATTCTGGAAGTGTGTGATGGCATAGAATGGAGGAGTCCAGCTTTCTAGGACTGTTTCCTATCCTGACATCTTTCCCCTCTCTATATCACAAAAATCACTTCCATTTTATTCCTAGACACCATACCTCTCCCATATACCTGTTAGTTTCTCATCTTTAAGTATTTCCCTTGTTTTCTAATTTTTACTCTCCCAAAGGACTCACAGTCTTTGTGGTCTTTTTTGGCTGGC